ATAACCAATCACAGGCAAGTAAGCCTCTGACGTCATGCCAGACAGACAGTCACCAGCCATGCTCCCAGAAGCAGCCTCAGTTCTCTCGACAGACCCAGAGTAGGTGGACCTCGGCTGGCCAGTTATACACCTGTTTGCCTCAATAAATATACAGAAGCGCCTACTGTGTCTACATTCAACCCCGCAAGACGACGAATACGTACCTTTCGCCACCTTCCCTACCCTTCACTACCTTCCTTTCGCCACCTTCCCTACCCTTCACTACCTTCCTTTCCCTTAATCACCTTCCCTGCTTTTCACCACGTTCCTTACCCTTCACCCCCTTCCCTACCCTTCACCACCTTCCCTACACTTCACTACCTTTCATACCCTTCACCACCTTCCCTACCTACCTTACCCTTCACCACCTTCCTTACCATTCATTTCCCTTCACCACCTATCCTCACCTTTCACCACCTTCCCTACCCTTTGCCACCTATCCTCACCTTTCACCACCTTCCCTACCCTTTGCCACCTTCCCTACCCTTCACTACCTTCCTTACCCTTCACTACCTTCCTTACCCTTCACCACCTTCCCTACCCTTCACCATCCCTATGTAATGATCTGGGGCTCAGATCATTGGTTCTCCATTCTCCCCTCCCCTTGGCCGTCATTCGTCTCCTCCTCTCCCCCCTCCCTGTCGCCCATTTGTCAGGGTCAAGAGGTTGACCTGAGGGTGGTCTTGGATACCTTTGGCTTCCCCCACTCAGATTTCTCTCTCCATCCACCTTTCATTCCCACTTTTCCCCTCTCACCAGTCCCTTCCCCATACCAGGTGAGTCAAATGTCCCTACCCTTTATCTTGGAGGAGACAGGCTTGAACATAATTTATCAGTTGGTAAACATTGCTCGCAGGTGCACTGGGCTCCATAGAGGCGCCTTGTTTCCCTTCTGATAGCTGGGGAGAGCCGACTCCCCAGGGGAGGGGAGGGGAGGGACGAGTCCTCCCCCCAAGCACCGACCCCACTAGACAAGGACGGCGCAGCCGTAGAAGCCGGATAGAATCTGGTCAGACCCAGAGGCTTTGGCTGTGGGAGGAGAGACTAATGCCCCCGTCACCACACCGGAACGGGCATCCCCCGAGGCTGCCCGAATCTCAAGACCAACTAACCCCTGCCCCGACTCCGAAACCCTCAGACATTTCGGGGCCGGAAGCAGGGGATGGGGACCAGAACGAACAACAGGAGAGGAAGGACCAGGAGGTGCAGACTGAACCAGGGTCGAAGCGACCCCCACCCCAAAGTCCGAGTCCCTATAAGCAAAATGGGGCAGCCGCGGGGCATCTGGGTGAGCAACCAACCTAGCACGTTGCAACAACCAAAACCTGGAATGCAACGCCTGTGCAGCCTGTACCCAAAGATCATCCATAGACTGGGTAAATTGAGTCACCAGCAAGCAACAATACTCACAGTACTCAGGGTCGAAAGTGTCACCGACCCAATTAACAGGCTGCATGATGGAGGCAAAAACATTGAGGGTCGGCCTGAGACAAGGGGACCGAACAACCTTCAAACTCGTACGAAGCGAGGGGGGGGGGACCCCAGGGGTCACATCCATCGAACCCACGCGTCCCCTAAGGGATTCCTAAGGTCCTGAGCGTTTACTTGAAGAGGACTCGCTCTCAGGTAAACCCAGGCAGGGTACTGCTAACCGGCACCCAAAACTACCAAACAAACTGACTAAAGCTGAACCCCAGGGACGTGTACACTCACGGGGACCAAGCAGGGGGCACCACCAAGTATCAGGGCGAGGCCAAACACTAGTGGCAAATAGGGCAAAACCCTCCACCAAGGCAAAAACAAAACCCCGCAAGAGGACAACATTCCCCAAGGAACAGAGCCGGCCGCTGTGATAGGTGATAACTAGCTGCACAGCACCCTGCGTCCCTACCAGTGCAAAAACTGCCTCTTACACTAAGATAAACTAGGGGAGACAACACCCCCAAGTACCCAAAGAGCGGCCGAGAAACTGAGCAGTAAAACGGACACACAGAGGCAGACCCCGAGGAACTTGTGGAAGGTAACCCCAAGCTCCAAGGGCAGTACTTACAAGGCACCTAGGGAAGGGAACCCTAGGCGCATGCAGCCTGAATACTGAGGAATAACTCCTGGCTCTCGCACCCCTGGAGAACAGCAGCCACACACAAAGCACAGTGCCGCAAAAAGACTGGAGCCAGAGCATACAACCGAGCCGATAGCATCAGCCTCAAGAACTGGGGTGTGGATCGCAGGTGCGGTAGGTCTGGGGCTGCCCCTTCCCCCTCCCGGGGAGGGGGGGGGCTGCGTGGACAGTGGCGCAACGACGGATGACGTCACACTAGTTTGCTCGTTTTAGTTTGGGGAGTTCTATCCACTCGTTCGGCTTTTGGTTGCAATTTTTACCAGAATAGAGATTTGTTTTGGGATGCCTACCTTTCTGGGTGCCTAACCCGGTCAATGAAAGACATAGAATGCTTCCAATTACAGGGGGGTTTCTATAGGCTATTGCTCCCCTTGCCTCTCTAGAGGGGGCCAGGTTCTGGCTCGTGGTCCCCGTTAGGCCCATAAGAACTCCATACACATGACTGATGCCAAAGTCTGACATTAGCATATGAGCCTAGTAAGCTCCGGGGAGCCGTAGGGGCTCCCCCCAGAAAAAAATTGGATAAATACCTAATTCTTGAACAAATATACTGAAAATTGTACAATTAATATTTCCACGAAAGAACTACACTGACTTACTGTAAATAATTCAGCTTGAAATCTCTTTTATTTAGCAGAAATAGTCTAAGTCTTGTTGACCAGCATACAATTAATACAACACTCTACATTAATTGAATTGTTCAAATTTTCTGTAATTCATAGGCACACTAGGACTGATGACGTTACTTTAACAATTTCAGACTGGCGCGGTGTTTAAACTTCAACAAGTATTTAATTCTTAACGCCTGACGCTAACAATGGCGCTCGGAAATAATTATAACCATTTAGTTAGTTACAAAAAATTAATGTTAAATTACTTCTTTACGTTAGTGAATGAGCTCGATGTTTACATAGTATACACTTGTTTACCGATGGTCGCTTTGTAGTTTACCAAGAAATTGTGACTGATAATCGCACTGCTCGCAGCCACCTTCACCACCTTCCCTACACTTTTCCACCTTCCCTACCCTTCACCACCTTCCCTACCGTTCACAACCTTCCCTACACTTAACAACCTTTGCTACCCTTCACCACCTTCCCTACCCTTCACCATCTTCCTTACCCTTCACCAGCTTTTCTACCCTTCACCAATCTTTGATGGCTTTAGTTACATTTATTAAACAGTTTACAAGCATGAAAACTTCCCAATCAAATGTTGCTGTTGTTGTTATACAACAGCCTCCTGGTGCTTTGGAGATCATTAACTGTTTAATAATTGTAAACAAAGCAGCCAAAAATTGCAAAAAGATGTACAGGTTCGTAAGTGCTTGCGTAACTGCTTCGTGAATCTGGCCCCTGGTCTTTGAGGGTCACCTTGGTTCAGTCATTGAATCATTTCTTCCGTGCCCCAACTGAATGCGTGCCCTGTCTTAATTCTCCCTACAGCAGCTGTTTTGGCATCGGCTGTCAGGCCTTCTTACAGCATGGCCTCTCTATCCGGCCTGATTTTTCTATAGGAGGATGTAAACCCTGAGAATTTGTTGGTCCTGGCCCTTTCCAGGACCAATGTGTCGGATTTTGTCCTGCCACAGAGGAGTCTGCTGATGCAGCTCAAGTGAAGGTGATTAAGCTGTTTGGCATATCTGCTGTAGACAGTCCAGGTCACACTGGTATAGAGAAGGGTGGTGAGTACCACAGCCCAGTAGACCATCAGTTTTGTGGTAAGGATGAGGCCCTTCCGCTCCCAGACAGTCTCACACTCTTCCAAAGGCAGCGCTGCCTTGGCGATCCTATTGTTGACTTCTGCATCTATGTTTACTCTTGACTTGTGCAAATCAATTCACTCTTGAGAGTATGGTGCAAAGACAGGTGAAGTTGTCAACTGCCTGCAGGTTCTGCTCCTTGACAATGATGTGTGGTTCCTGGTAGGTTATTTCAGGGGTGGGTTGGTACACAACTTCAGTCTTTTGGTGCTGACAATGAGACTGAAGTGGTCTCAGGCTCGTGAGAAGCCGTTCATTTCCATAAAGGTAATTATCAAGAGAAAGCACTAAGCCATTATGATTATGAAGCACCTGGAATGGTTATGAAGTTTAAGGATTTAGGATATGACACATGAAAGGAATGATGCCCAACCACTGGAATGGTCAGGGATTGAACTCTGACCTGCAAAAATAAAAGCTATTGCTCTACCATCCAGTCCACATGATTCAAGTATATTATTATTCTTCAACTTTGTCTTGCTCATGTTAGCCAATTTTGATTTTGTAGTTTACTTATAGTCTCTGTACAATAGAATGGACACAACTTTACATGAATGTATACAGACAAGAGTTCAGCCCATCCTCCTGTTTAGTTAGTACTTACAGCAACGATTAGGACCATAGTGCATGTATGGAGTAATGGACAATTAGAAATAGTTACTATTGAATTGGGACAAATTGTTAATTAAGAAAGTAATTATCAAACAATTACACCACCAAGGCAGGAAGGCTATGTAAGGACAAATTGTTCAACATTTTATATTTATGTTGCAAAGACCTAACCTTCCCAGGCCTAATACACCCTATCTGAAGCCTAATATATCACAAATATATGCTAAATTAGGCTTAGGAATATTTAAGTTTGTTTTATAGCTTTATATTTGTTGGACTCTATAAAGTGAATAGTACCAAATTCTACTATCTAATTGTCTTTAATGTCAATGTTTGGACTATGGTGCACAGACACTCAGACACTTGTACTCAGACATATACGCAAATGAGCTTGGATGGATATAAACAGGAGCTGCAAAGTAGTATCTTCTAAGTAAAGGAATCAGACAAAAACAAAAAACAAAAAATAATTAATGATTTGTATTTAAAAATAAATAATTGTACATGTGTTTTTTTTATATACTGATAAAATGTTATTGGCTCGAGTGGAATTAAAGTTGATACATAGAGGGCCAGAGCCCATGATGCTGGCCACAGTATATTAGTGGCAAGACTCGCCACAATACTGTTAGGTGACATCTTCATGTTACAAATGTACTGATGGTGCCAACACCTCACACTGGTGGTGCTGACACCTCACACTGGTGGTGCTGACACCTCACACTGGTGGTGCTGACACCTCACACTGGTGGTGCTGACACCTCACACTGGTGGGGCTGACACCTCACACTGGTGGGGCTGACACCTCACACTGGTGGTGCTGACACCTCACACTGGTGGTGCTGACACCTCACACTGGTGGTGCTGACACCTCACACTGGTGGTGCTGACACCTCACACTGGTGGTGCTGACACCTCTTGACTGGTGGTGCTGACAGCTCACACTGATGGTGCTGACATCTCACACTGGTGGTGCTGACATCTCTCACTGGTGGTGCTGACACCTCACACTGATGGTGCTGACACCATACAATAATGGCAATGACATCTCACACTGGTGGTGCTGACACCTCACACTGATGGCAATGACATCTCACAATGCTGTATTTAAATAACTGTAAATACACTGACACTGCAAATGGTAAATACAATTAGTTCTCAAAATATTTTTAACTTATAAAGGTGTTCCAGAACTTCATTAATGCTATAGCTCACTATGCTCGTATTTCTTTGTCTTTTCTTTCTCAATTGGGAAGGCCCAAAAGGATGAGGGAAAACCCATAACATCTCGCTCTCGCTTGGCAAAAGCAGAGAAAGATGATACACAGTTGCCAATATAATGATTGGCACGAGCAAGGATGGCCAGATCTACATGGGGCTCAGAAGGGTCTCCGTGGTGGACGCTCACCTGAAAAGAGGTTGAAGGTTTACTGTATAAATATAAATTTACTCAAATAAATTTTAAAGACAGCTTCTATATTCTAGCAAACATAAAAAAAACAGCGTTGAATGTAATGAAAAGCTATTTTCTGGGCGAGACCCGGAGGCTCCCCGGAGCTATACCGGGTTGATGTGTATATATTAGACCGTGGCAACAGTCAATCAATTGAGTTCTAGCCTACCGGGGACCATAAGCCAGAACCTGGCCCCCCTCAGAGAGGCAAAAGAAGCAATGGCCTATAGACACCTCCATGTAGATGGAAGTATTCTATGTCTGCCATCTACCAGGTCAGGCACCCAGAAAGGTAGGAATCCCAAAACAAACTACAACTGGTTAAAAATTGCAAACTGAAAGCCACACGAGCAAGCAGAACTCATCAATCAGAAAACAAGCAAACAAACATGATGTCACCACAACTGCCGCACCGTTGTCTGTGCAGCTCCCCCCTCCCTGGGAGGGGAAAGGGGGGTCTCAGACCTTCCATGCCGGCTACCCAACCTCAGTTCAGAGGCTGAATATAAAAAATGCGAAAGAATATGGTGTTTCATTACATTCAATGCTGGTTTCCTGTGGAGAGCCCCTCTGGCTCCCCCGTGCTACCTAACCAAAGATAAGGTAAAAGGGAGACTTACCCAGGAGGCAGCCGCCACTCACTCCTCAACTCGAAGTCTAGACAACCAGCTGCAACCTGCGACCCAAGGCTACAAATGCCCAAGATAGGCCAATAACCTCAACAAGGTACCGTGCGGCCAGGACCCTGTTCGCCCTCCATAAGCCCTGTGCCCGAATGTCAGCCCAGGACATATTACCAAACTTATGAACGTTGTGGGCACGGGGACAGACTGCAGGCTGGCTGGACCGAATAATCCTGCAGACGACCTGGGAGACCCGCACCCTGGAACAGGGAAGAAGGGAAACTGGGTCAACCACACATCATCAACTCAAGGACACCTCTGGAAAGCAGCAGTCTCATTCTTCGCCAGAAAAGGAGACGGCTTCAAATTAACAAACTGACCACTAGGACCGAAAGAGCAGAAACCCCTGCGCCGGAGGAGAGCCTGAAGCTCCCCGATCCAACCTGACCCCCAGAGGCCAATGCCAACAAGAGTCCTAGAAAAACAGTCCTGAACTGAATGGGCCACTGCAAACAGAGGAGAAGAGAGAAAAGAGAACACCCGGTCCAACGACCAGGACAGCTCAAGCGGTATGAGCAGGCTGGAGATGAAACAGCGGCCAAGAAAGCTTGTGGAACGAAGCAGATGTGACATCCACCCCGAACGCAAGCTGAAGTAGCTTCGCCAGCACAGTATGAAATGAGGCGACAGTATTCGGCATAAGATGACGGTCCTGAAACGACCATGAGAGAAAGAACAAAACAACTATCAGAAATCGAAGACAACCTATGAAAAAAGAAAAAGTGTTGAAAGGACCGCCAGGAAACTTCATACTGCCACCGAGAAGAAACTCTCAGGTGGGACACCATTAACGAAGCCACCTGGTCACCATACAAGTGGTGATAAACCCGCATAAAAAACCAGCGTTGAATGTAATGAAACGCCATTTTCTGGGTGAGTCCCGGAGGCTCCCCGGAGCTATCCATGGCTGATATGGATACACTAACTATTTTGCATCAGTCGATGTGGGTGGAATTCTAGGCCTACCGGGGACCACGAGCCAGAACCTGGCCCCCTCAGAGAGGCACGGGGAGCAATAGCCCATAGAAATGCACATGTGATTTGGAGCATTCTATATCTGCCATTGACCGGGACAGGCACCCAGAAAGGTAAGCACCACAAAACAAACCCCCTGTTCTGGTTAACAACAAAAATCAACAAACGAGTGGACAGAACTCCCCAAGGAAAACGAACTAAGAAGCATGACGTCACACGAGCCGCGCCGCATGTCTGCGCAGCTCCCCTCTCCCCGGGAGGGGGAAGGGGGAGCCCCAGACCCCCGCGCCGGCGATCCCTGCCCCAGTTCTGAGGCTGGATATCAAAACCGCGAAAAAAACGCCGACCATAGGGCGGGAGAGTGCCGGGGAGCCTCCGGGACTCACCCAGAAAATGGCATTTCATTACATTCAATGCTGGTTTTCTGGGGAGAGCCCCTACGGCTCCCCGGAGCTACTTCACCAAAGACTACCTAAGAAAACAAGGGGACATACCCGGGAGGCGGTCAGTGAACCACTCCTCAACACGAAGTCGAGACAACAACCCAAGGACCCCTCCGGAAAGCAGCAGGCACATCATTCGCCAGAAAAAGGGAGAATGGCCGCAGACGAAGAAACCTATGACCACGACCATAGGAGCCAAAAACCACTGCCCCTGAGAAGAGCATGAAGCTCTGCCACACGACCCCCAGAGGCCAATGCCAACATAAAAAGAGAGCCGAGGCAAAGCAAACCTGACCCCAAGGAGCCACAACCACCATGGAGAAGAAAAACAGGAGAGCACCCTGTCCAAAGACCAGGACGGCACAGGCAGTGCATAAGCAGGCCGGAGGTGAAACAACGCACGAGACAGCCTGTGAAACGGCGCAGAAGGAACATCGATACCGAAAGCTAGCAGCAGAAACCAAGGTGCCAGACACAGGAACGGCCCCAAGCGCCTCTACATCCTCCGCAAGCCAATCCATGACAGCCCCAGGAGGGGAAAGAAAACACAGGACCAAAACCAAAATGCCACAAGCGTGCAAGTCCACCGCCACAAGTGCAGCCGACAGGGAAGGAACCCGTACAAGGAGCCGCCTTCACCAACATCCCGCAGAAGGGCAGGAGAGAAAAGACTCATTAAGAGGAGCAAAATCGCCCCCAGGAAAACGAGTAGCTCCGAGACAGCACGAAGAGAAGAGATACGCACAAAAGAACAAGAAGGCCAAACACCCAGAAGCTGCCGGGAATAGGACCCACAAGCCCTAGAAAGGACCGGAGGGAAGCTCAACCGAATGACGACAGACGTACCAGAAAAACGGGAAGGAGCAAAACCGCCCCGAACCTTTGAGAACAAAAAGAAGCCAACACAAAGGACGAAGGCACAAAAACCCTGTCGCACCCGAGACCAAAAGTCATGCAGAAATCCCAAGAAGAGGGGGACTATGACGGAGAAGGCCCGTCCCGGAAAAAAGGGGCGAAGACCGTAGAAAAGCACCCACCGGCAGGACGGAAACAACGGGCACAATGGACAAGGAAACCGAGCCCAGGGAGGGGCCGACGCCCACAAAGCACCTGCGGAGAGGGGGAACGGAAAAACCCCACAACACAAAACCCCAACCATGGGTGGCGCACGCGCCTCTGGCTCCCAAAAACCTGTCCGACGCGGTGTTGAAAGATAATGCTCTGCCGGTGAAATTCAAACCTTATTGTTTGAAGAACATAAGGGTCATAATATTGGGGAAGCCAGGCACAATAAGGACCTAACACAAAGGTCGGATGCAAGTGATACAGCACCTATGAGGACGATGTATTACCGAGTGTGTAATACAGTGTGTTACTGTGTAAATAGTGTGTGAAACTGTACATATTGTAATTTTAGTGATTTTTTTAACAGGTAATATTGCGACAATAAACATTTATTGTGGACACATTACTGACACATGTATCACAGTTCAATGGAACATTATGAACGTTCTACTGTATACATATTGTAAAGGACACAAATATGCATCACATACGATAAAAAACAAATAAAACCGCATTGGAAATACATAAAACAAATAATTGAAAATATATTTGTGGCAACACCCGGTGCTTGAATGGCCCGTGCGACAGTGTCTGGGCGAGTCATGCACGGGCGACCAGGCCCTGATGATGTCAGAGCGCATCTTGTCCATGTCCCTACAGCCAAAGTAAGTGGAATTTGGTACTTATTTTTACATAGACATGATCAGGGAATTTATCATTTTACGAAAAAAAAAGAATTTTTTGGGAACACTTCATTTCATGCGCACCGGGGGAATTTCTCAATAAACTCCGCGCAGCACGGTGGTTAAATAAAATCCTTTTTGTAAAATTGTACCCCAAGGTGCATTTCTTGTCCAATGTAGTTAGAACTGGTGACTCCTACTACATAGACCCCTGCACTTCCATTATTTGTAAGTAAGAGCGGGTGTTGTTAGCGATACTTTAGGGTACTGCTTTCAATCTTGTACCTTACAAGGCCTTGACCCTTGTGTAGGGAGAAATAGCAGTGCTATTTCTCCCTACACAAGGGTCTCTCTCTTACAAAATACATTGCTATTTCTCTCTATACAAGGGTCTCTCTCAATAGCACTGCTATTTCTCCCTACACAACGGTCTCTCTCTTACATAATTTGGTGGCAGCGGTGGGTTATCTTGAGGTTATCTTGAGATGATTTCGGGGCTTTTTAGTGTCCCCGCGGCCCGGTCCTCGACCAGGCCTCCACCCCCAGGAAGCAGCCCGTGACAGCTGACTAACACCCAGGTACCTATTTTACTGCTAGGTAACAGGGGCATAGGGTGAAAGAAACTCTGCCCATTGTTTCTCGCCGGCGCCTGGGATCGAACCCAGGACCACAGGATCACAAGTCCAGTGTGCTGTCTGCTCGGCCGACCGGCTCCCTTGTGGGTGGCACTCTCTAGAGCTGTGGCCGTACCTTACACGGCAGTTTACGGGACCCCATCTGGGTAAACCCATGCGTGCTTTCGGCAGTTAGGTCACGCTACCACAAAATTATTTACTGTAAAACTTACCACAATAGGTTATAAGACATTGTTTTATGACATTTCCTTGCCTAACTCCCAGGCCCTTTTCGTGTCAGTGAACAACCTTAAGTAAGGTTCTTTGCCCAAACTGTAGTTCAGATATTTTACCATTTGTCGTTTGGGAGTTAGCCAAGATTATGTGTGTGCATAGGCACCTATTCCTATGCTGGTGGCAGCTCATGTAGTGTCTAGCTTTACCATATATTCAGTCTAGGGAGTATTTTACCTATGCCACAACTGTGGCCAATTGCACTGTCTATTTTGAGGTTATTTTGCTAGTTGACATCACTAATTCTCGGGTCCATGTGTTGTTTTCAGGATTTAATTTGTTTATATAACCTTGTGTGACCACTGTGAAGTAATGGCCAAATTTACTTATCTCAGGTGCCTTGTGATAACCATGTGCTTATATTCTAATGTGTGACATTATTAAAGTTTATATGTATCCAAGGGTAATGCAAAGTTGTATTTAATGCCAAGATATCTACAGGTTTATTGTTGACAGCCACCTGCAGGGTAAAAGTTTTGGTTTTATGCTCTTTTGTTCATCCAGCAAGTGCAAGTTAAAGAAAAGTTAGAGTGTGGTTCCCACTTGTGTTTGGTTCCAAAGGTTTATGTGCCCTCCCCCCCTCCTCATCCTCTCCTTGTATACCATGGCTACCTATGCTACCCCAAACCCCAGAGCAGACTTTCAGGTTTTGTCTCGATTGACATTAGTGGAGACATGTCGGGTAATCCCCTGGAGTGTACTAGTGTTGAGAGCGATTTGTCAGTGACAACCCATAGTCACTCAGTCTGAGTGATGGGGGTGAAAGATATAGGTCATCTACCCATAGGGAGGTTAGTCATGTAGGGCAAGGTAGTGTAGGACCCACACACCAGGGGACCACCACGAATATTACAACTGGGAATCAAGCCCAGACAAGTTTCCGGACACCAGGGACCTTACCCACTACGGATAAATTGCCTTGCCATCACTGCAAGGCAAGTGGTATACCAGCAAAAGTCCCTTGTAATACGAATCCTTCCATGGTATCTTGGGGTAACCCCTATGGGCTACAGTTCATAACCCACCCAGATGTTCCTAGGTTAAACACAGGAGAACTACCCAGGAACCCATTAGCCCGAAACAGAGACATTGAGGACTGGTTGATTGATACACAAATTGCTCTCAGTACAGTAACAAGTGAGGAACTAAAAGTTAAATTTGCCCGAAAGGCTCTCCTTGACCACACCAAATCCATTAATTTCATGAGTAGTTTTCGGAATGCCCTTACGTGGGAAGATTTTGAGAACGCGGTCAGAGACCGGTTTAAGGTGGAGGTCACACTCTCAGAAGTTCATGAATATGTATTCAGTATGAAATTAAAACCAGCAGAAACAATTAAAGATTTTGGGTGTACTGTTTCCGCATGTACTGTTTCCGCACGCCCCAGGAGGCCTGGTCGACGACCGGGCCGCGGGGACACTAAGCCCCGGAAGCACCTCAAGGTAGCTATGTATTGAACAGGTGAAACAGGAATTAAGGTATACCCCAGACAGGTTAGAGTTGTTCAAAAAGCAAACATTTTGTGATGGGCTGCCAGAACTCATTAAAGCAAGACCAACAGAGGTAGACCCAAGGTGACTTGTGGAAGATAACCCCAAGCCCCAAGAGCGGCACTTACAGGGCACTTAGGGAAGACAGGAACCCTCAGTGCATGCAGCCCAAGTACCTAGGAATATTACTCCCAGCTCGCACACCACCTTAAGAGCAGTACTGAAGCAAGGCACAGCACAACACTAGAGTCTGGAGCTGGAGCCACATGACCACGACAGCCGAAGAACTGAGAGGGTGAACATGGTGGCTGTCATTGTGGCGATCCACCGGCATCGCTGGCGTGGGGGTCTGGGGCTGCGCAGACATGCAGTGCAACCGAACTAAAATGAAAGCGATGTTGCTCGTTTTCATTTGGGGAAGATCTGTCCACTCGTTTGTCTATTTTTGTCGTTTTAACCAGAATAGGGGTTTGCTTTGGGGCGCTTACCTTTCTGGGTGCCTGTCCCGGTCGATGGCAGATATAGAATGCTCCAAAATCACATGTGCATTTCTACACGCCATTGCTCCTCATGCCTCCCTGAGGGGGCCAGGTTCTGGCTCGTGGTTCCCAGTAGGCCTAGAACTCCACCCACATCGACTGATGTCAAAGTTAGGGATATTCATATCAGCCTGGATAGCTCCAGGAACCAGTAGGGGCTCCCCCAGAAATATTTGATTTTGTGTATACAGTTGGTAGTGTGGTGATTATAATATTTTTTGAACTAGATAAAGTAACAAACTTATCTCAATAACAAATTATTTATTTTGTAAATTAATTCTCCACATTTCACTTAAAACAATCAGCTCAAACTTACTTTCATCTTTCTTAATGCTTGAGTGAGCTTGCCAACCATAAAATCATTGTCTGATGCAACAAAAACACTTTTTGCACCAATGGATTTAGTAACACGCTTTAACTTCTTAATAATTGTATTTTCTGAAGGAAGGCAAAGTTCCAATGTTGTTGTTCCATGCTCATTCCTGTATCCCAAACACTGAGGCGCTGAGAAAAGGTTCGGACTGTGTTCCACGTGCTCGCACGCACGCACCTAAAAACAAAACTTATACATAAATAAAAATCATAAGGAAAAATACAGTACAGTATTTAAATAAAATTGTTGAGCATTTTGTGAGTGGGTTTATATCAGTGAGCCGAATTTCTAATGATATCCATAATTATATATTATATACACTTTACAAATGGCCATGACAATTTCTAGTATTTATGAACAAATACCATGATATAAAACAAAGGGACAAAAACATTAAGCTAATCTGACCACTCATTTGTATGCCACATATCAACTAGTAACATAATTAGCTTTTTACATTTCAACTTTACAGTGATAGAAGCTATTTGAAGGAAGATAAACATTTAACAAATTTTCCTTGCTATGTACGTCTTGCATAGTATAGTTGTCAGAGAATCGTGTACGTGTTGTGTAGTATAGTTGTCAGAGAATCGTGTACGTGTTGTGTAGTATAGTTGTCAGAGAATCGTGTACGTGTTGTGTAGTATAGTTGTCAGAGAATCATGTACGTGTTGTGTAGTATAGTTGTCAGAGAATCGTGTACGTGCTGTGCAGTATAGTTGTCAGAGAATCGTGTACGTGTTGTGCAGTATAGTTGTCAGAGAATCGTGTACGTGTTGTGTAGTATAGTTGTCAGAGAATCGTGTACGTGTTGTGTAGTATAGTTGTCAGAGAATCGTGTACGTGTTGTGTAGTATAGTTGTCAGAGAATCGTGTACGTGTTGTGTAGTATAGTTGTCAGAGAATCGTGTACGTGTTGTGTAGTATAGTTGTCAGAGAATCGTGTACGTGTTGTGTAGTATAGTTGTCAGAGAATCATGTACGTGTTGTGTAGTACAGTATAGTTGTCAGAATTATATACGTGTTGTGTAATATAGTTGTCAGAGAATCGTGTACGTGTTGTGTAGTATAGTTGTCAGAGAATCGTGTACGTGTTGTGTAGTATAGTTGTCAGAGAATCATGTACGTGTTGTGTAGTATAGTTGTCAGAGAATCATGTACGTGTTGTGTAGTATAGTTGTCAGAGAATCATGTATGTGTTGTGTAGTATAGTTGTCAGAGAATCATGTATGTGTTGTGTAGTATAGTTGTCAGAGAATCATGTATGTGTTGTGTAGTATAGTTGTCAGAGAATCATGTACGTGTTGTGTAGTATAGTTGTCAGAGAATCATGTACGTGTTGTGTAGTATAGTTGTCAGAGAATCATGTATGTGTTGTGTAGTATAGTTGTCAGAGAATCAGGTACGTGTTGTGTAGTATAGTTGTCAGAATCATGTACGTGTTGGATAGTATAGTGCACCAAATGTGTCAGGTGTTGGGTAGTATAGTGGGCCAGATGTGTTGGGTAGTAAAGTTCACCAGATGTTTCAGGTGTTGGGTAGTATAGTGCACCAGATGTGTCAGGTGTTGGGCAGTATAGTGGACCAGATGTGTCAGGTGTTGGGTAGTATAGTGCACCAGATGTGTCAGGTGTTGGGCAGTATAGTGGACCAGATGTGTCAGGTGTTGGGTAGTATAGTGCACCAGATGTGTCAGGTGTTGGGTAGTATAGTGCACCAGATGTGTCAGGTGTTGGGTAGTATAGTGCACCAGATGTGTCAGGTGTTGGGTAGTATAGTGGACCAGATGTGTCAGGTGTTGGGTAGTATAGTGCACCAGATGTGTCAGGTGTTGGGCAGTATAGTGGACCAGATGTGTCAGGTGTTGGGTAGTATAGTGCACCAGATGTGTCAGGTGTTGGGTAGTATAGTGCACCAGATGTGTCAGGTGTTGGGTAGTATAGTGGGCCAGATGTGTCAGGTGTTGGGTAATATAGTGGACCAGATGTGTCAGGTGTTGGGTAATATAGTGGACCAGATGTGTCAGGTGTTGGGTAGTATAGTGGACCAGATGTGTCAGGTGTTGGGTAATATAGTGCACCAGATGTGTCAGGTGTTGGGTAATATAGTGCACCAAATGTGTCAGGTGTTGGGTAATATAGTGCACCAGATGTGTCAGGTGTTGGGTAGTATAGTGGACCAGATGTGTCAGGTGTTGGGTAATATAGTGCACCAGATGTGTCAGGTGTTGGGTAATATAGTGCACCAAATGTGTCAGGTGTTGGGTAGTATAGTGGACCAGATGTAATAGTTAACAATGTAGGGATGATGGGTGGATGAAGGCTTGGGGAAGATATACAGTATAAGAGTGAGGTAAGAAGGGGGCAAGTAATGAGTGGCCAATTTATTTAACAAAAAGAAAATTGAGAGGATTACATACTAGAACGATTCTATGATGACCAACAGGTATGACCCAGCAGGTAAAGAACAGGCAAATTATTGTTACGTAAGACAGTGTGGAAGCATTATATTTATGGACTACTCCTTGGGGAGAAGTTCATAAAGGTTAATTTATGGTACTCCTTGGGGAGAAGTTCATTAAGGTTTATTTATGGACTACTCCTTGGGGAGAAGTTCATTAAGGTTTATTTATGGACTACTCCTTGGGGAGAAGTTCATTAAGGTTTATTTATGGACTACTCCTTGGGGAGAAGTTCATTAAGGTATATTTATGGACTACTCCTTGGAGAGACGTTCATAGAGGTTTATTTATGGACCTGAGACTTGGGGTGAAGTTCATAAAGATTTGGGAAGTTCCATAAAAACTGACACACACAATGACTCAAATTTCTCATACAGTATAGCTTGAATTTGTCCATCATCAATAAACTTCACGTGTAACATAATTCCTTAAACTTTCCAACCTACCCAGTCTATTCCATTTCGAAGATGTATACCAATAAATGGCCCTCTTGGCAATGAGGAAATAACCCGCTGAGCTTTACTTAGTATACTGTCACTCCAGACAAGATATTTGTGCAAGTGCCTATTACTTTCTTGAACTGGAAAAGTTGCTGGGGCACCAGTGAAGGCCAACACTGAAAACAAACATCATGAAGTATAATAAAATGCAAGCATCACAATTTATATAATATTGTGCATCCTCCTATGTCTGCTAACTACAATGACATTTAACAACTACATTACTATGTTCGGCATTAAAAAACCCTCCCACTTCAACCCACCCCCCACCCCCTACCTCTCAGCATATGTAATGAATACTGGGAGGTGAAACAAGGACATGGAAGTACAGTACAATTAATACATGATGAAGTAATGAGTACTGTAAAGAATATTAGTATAGGAATGTAATGAGTATAGCTAGGCTTAGCAGGTACACAGGGAGTGTACTGATTACACAGGTGGTATAATAATATCACAGAGGGGGTACAATGTGCACATTGAGTGTGATAAATACAGGTGGTGGGATGGGTCGAGTCAGGCAAGGTCTGTGGATGCTGGTATTCTCGCATACTCTTTCAATAATATTTCAGCAATTGGAGATGCATATGGAAGAGAAGTTTTAACACTGGGATTGGAAGGCCAGTTTACAAGAGAATATGTTTTTATTGTGTTCCTGCATGCAATTGTGAATTCGTTTTTTAATGATAGAGGCAAAAGATTGGCTTAATGTTGTTATGACAGGGTGAGCCAATTAGTGGTTAGTGAAAAAGATGCTTGGTGATTTTCTGAGGCCAAGTATCACTTGGGAAACGTTTGCGCTTATATGAATGAATCTTCAAGAGGACATTCCTGGCTGGATTAAACTCCAGTCTCTTCATTACACCAGTAAGACCAGGACCACAAGTCTCAATAACACCAGTATAACCAGGTACACACATCTCCCTTACTTCTGTGTGACCAGGACTATGAGTATCCCTTACACCAGTATGACCAGGCACACACATCTTCCTTACACCAGTATGACCAGGCACACACATCTTCCTTACACCAGTATGACCAGGCACACACATCTCCCTTACACCAGTATGACCAGAACCACAAGTATCCCTTACACCAGTATGACCAGGCACACACATCTTCCTTACACCAGTATGACCAGGCACACACATCTGCCTTACACCAGTATGACCAGAACCACAAGTCTCAATAACACCAGTATGACAAGGTACACACATCTCTCTTACTTCTGTGTGACCAGGCACACACATCTCCCTTACACCAGTATGACAGGCACACACATCTCCCTTACACCAGTATGACAGGCACACACATCTCCCTTACACCAGTATGACAGGCACACACATCTCCCTTACACCAGTATGACAGGCACACACACATTCCTTACACCAGTTTGACCAGGCACACACATCTCTCTTCCACCAGTATGACCAGAACCACAAGTATCCCTTACACCAGTATGACCAGGCACACACACACACCTCTCTTACACCAGTATGACCAGGCACACACATCTCTCTTCCACCAGTATGACCAGGCACACACGTCTCCCTTCCACCAGTATGACCAGGGTTACCTGCTTGATAGGGTTCTGGGAGTTCTTCTACTCCCCAAGCCCGGCCCGAGCCCAGGCTTGACTTGTGAGAGTTTGGTCCACCAGGCTATTGCTTGGAGCGGCCCGCAGGCCCACATACCCACTACAGCCCAGTTGGTCCGGAACTTCTTTTTAGAAAAGTCTAGTTTTCTCTTGAAGATGTCCACGGTTGTTCCAGCAATATTTCTTATAGTCACTGGGAGGACGTTGAACAACCGTGGACCTCTGATGTTTATACAGTGTTCTCTGATTGTGCCTATGGCACCTCTGCTCTTCACTGGTTCTACCCTGCATATTCTTCCATATTGTTCACTCCAGTATGTTGTTATTTTACTGTGTAGATTAGAGACCTGGCCCTCCAATATTTTGCATGTGTATATTATTTGGTATCTCTCTCGTCTACTTTCTAGTGAGTACATTTGGAGAGCTTCGAGACGATCCCAATAATTTAGGTGCTTTATCACATCTATGCGTGCCGTATATATTCTCTGTATTCCCTCTATTTCAGCAATCTCTCCTGGTTTGAAGGGGGAAGTGAGTACTGAGCAGTACTTGAGATGGGACAACACAAGTGACTTGACGAGTACAACCCTCCGTCAAAACTGTGAGAGTCACCCTGAGACAAGGGGACAGAGCAACCCTCGAACTCGCACAAAGTGAGGGGGGGGGGGACTTCGGAGCCACATCTATTGGGCCCACGCTTCCCCTAGGGGTATCCCAGGGTCCCGAGCGTTTACTATAAGAGGACTCTCGCTCAGGTAATCCCAGGCAGGGTACTGCTAACCGGCGCCCATGGCTACCAAACAACATTCTAAGGGCTGAACCCCCGGGATGTGTACACTCACGGGGACCTAGTAGGGGGAACCACCGGAAGAAGGAAGACTAGGCACAAAGGAGGAAACAACCAAAAGCATAGCCCCCACCAGGTAGACAAACAGAAAGAAAAAGAAAACCCCGCAAGAGTACAGCGTACCCAGGCAGAACAGAGCCAGCCGCTATGATTGGTGAAAACAAGCTGCACAGCACCCTGCGCCCTGCCAGTGCAAACTGCCCCTTACCCTAAGACGAACAGGGAGACAGAACCCCCCTATCACACAAAGGGCGGCCAAAAACCGAGCAGCAAACAGCCTAGCAGAAGCAGGACCCAAAGAACTTGTGGAAGGTAACCCCAAGCCCCAAGGGCAGTACTTACAGGGCACCTAGGGAAGGGAACCCTAAGCGCATGCAGCCTGAGGACTCGAGACTCACTTCCGGCTCACGCACCACCTAGAAGACAAATACCACACTCTAGGTACAGTGCTGAAACAACCACTGGAGCCGGAGCACACAACCGGTGCCATTTGCATCAGCGAAGAATTGGGGTGTGGATCGGCGGCGTGGTAGGTCTGGGGCTACCCCATCCCCCTCCTGGGGTGGGGGGAGCTGCGCAGACAGCGGCACGATGCTGGGTGATGTCATACTAGTTTGCTCGTTTTTGTTTTGGGAGTTCTATCCACTTGTTAGGTTTTTGGTTGCAATTTTCACCAGACTAGGGGTTTGTTTTGGGACGCGTACCTTTCTGGGTGCCTAACCCGGTCGATGGCAGACATAGAATGCTTCAACCACACGGGGGTTTCTATAGGCAGGCCATTGCTCACCTTGCCTCTCTGAGGGGGCCAGGTTCTGGCTCGTGGTCCCCGGTAGGCCCATAAGAACTCCATACACGTGATTGATGCCAAAGTCTGACATTAGCATATCAGCCTGGTAAGCTCTGGGGAGCCGTAGGGCCTCCCCCCAGAAAGGGTGACAGACAAGAGGCACTGAACTACAGGCCAGTGTCCTTAACTTGTATACCATGCAAGGTGATGGAGAAGATCGTGAGAAAACACCTAGTAACACATCTGGAGAGAAGGGACTTCGTGGCAACCAATCAATATGGGCTCAGGGAGGGTAAATCTTGCCTTACAGGCTTAATAGAATTCTACGATCAGGTGAGAAAGATTAAGCAAGAAAGAGAAGGATGAGCGGACTGCATTTTTTTGGATTGTCGGAAAGCCTTTGATACAGTACCCCATAAAAGGCTGATGCATAAACTGGAGATACAGGCAGGAGTAACTGGTAGGGGGCTCCAGTGGATAAGGGAGTACCTAAGCGATAGGAAGCAGAGAGTTACAGTGAGAGGCGAGACGTCAGATTGGCATAAAGTTACCAGTGGAGTCCCACAGGGCTCTGTACTCGGACCTATCCTGTTTCTGATATACGTAAATGATCTTCCATAGGGTGTAGACTCATTCCTCTCAATGTTTGCTGACGATGCCAAAATTATGAGAAAGATTAAGACAGAGGAGGACAGCTTGAGGCTGCAAGAAGACCTGGACAAGCTGTAGGAATGGTCAAACAAATGGTTGTTAGAGTTTAACCCAAGCAAATGCAATGTAATGAAGATAGGTGTAGGGAACAGGAGACCAGATGCAAGGTATCATTTGAGAGATGAAATCCTTCAAGAGTCTGAAAGAGAGAAAGACCTGGGAGGTTGATATCACGCCAGATCTGTCCCCTGAAGCTCATATCAAGAGGATAACATCAGCGGCATATGCCAGGTTGGCTAACAAGAACGGCCTTTAGAAACCTATGTAAGGAATCTTTCGCAACTTCATATACCACATATGTCAGACCAATTCTGGAGTATGCAGCTCCAGCATGGAGTCCATATCTAGTCAAGCATAAGACTAAACTGGAAAAGGTTCAAAGGTTTGCCACCAGACTAGTACCCGAACTGAGGGGTATGAGCTACGAGGAGAGACTACGGAAATTAAACCTCACGTCACTGGGAGACAGAAGAGTTATAGGGGACATGATCACCACATACAAGATTCTCAGAGGAATTGATAGGGTAGATAAAGACAGGCTATTTACCACAAGGGGCACACACACTAGGGGACAAAGGTGGAAATTGAGTGCCCAAATGAGCCATAGAGACGTTAGAAAGAATTTTTTCAGTGTCAGAGTTGTAGACAAATGGAATGCATAAGGAAGTGATGTGGTGGAGGCTGACTCCATACACTGCTTCAAGTGAAGATATGATACAGCCCAGTAGGCTCAGGAACCTGTACACCTCAGTACAGTCAGTCAGTAAAGTCAGTAGTTTCAAAGCGTTATATGACAAAGAGTGCTGGGAAGACGGGACACCACGAGCGTAGCTCTCATCCTGTAACTACACTTAGGTAATTACTTAGGTAATTACCTGTTGATTGACAGTTGAGAGGCAGGATCAAAGAGCCAGAGCTCAACCTCCCACAAGCACAACTAGGTAAGTACATATCTCTTACACCAGTATAACCAGGCACACACATCTCTTTTGTACCAGTATGACCAGGCACACACACATCTCTCTTGCACCAGTATGACCAGGTGCGCACACACCTTTCTTGCACCAGTATGACCAGGCACACACACACCTCTCTTGCACCAGTATGACCAGGCGTACACATCTCTATTGCACCAGTATGACCAGGCACACACATATCTATTCCACTAGAATGA